CTATACAGAATTTAGTTAAGATAGTGCATTAGTATACACATGTATGTGGTTGGATTTGAAAAAAAAATGCACTAGTTGATTAATACAATGAAGTATTAGGTTAAAACACTGCACTATTTGATGAATAGCATTTGATTTTAATTGTTTAATTAATGTTCGGCTAAGTGTGTATTAGTCATATTGAAAAAAGTATTTCCTTCAAACAAAAAATTTAAAAAATTCTTTTCAAATGTCCTTAAAGTTCAATTTCATATTTGTGCATTGTTTTAAACCCGATTGTGCAATGTTTTAAATAACTATTCAACAATCCATATCAAAATACATACCAAAAGGAACTTTAAACATTGCACAATCTGCTTAAAAACAATGCACGCATTATTGAATACAATGCAAGAAATAATTATAAGAACATTTGGAAAGACATGGGAAACAAAGTGGAACCAAACTTAAAATAGTGAACATAAAGTATTATTAAATGCTAAGTGTACTTCTCAATCGGTATAAATTTATAATATTTAAAAAAAGAAAAACCAAAACAAAGATTGTCAACAATAAATTAAAAATAATAATCACTCAAAATGAATACAAAAAAAACATTCATTGCTCAAAGTTGAAAGGATAACTCATAAACATGAAAAAAAAAATCATCCTCCGAGTTCAAAGGACAATTCCTACTGTCAATCTGTCATGATACCCCTTTTTATTACATTTTCTACATAAGCTCTTAGTCTTTTGGCTCACTTCAATTGCCTTCTCCTTACCACCTTTAATTCTCTTACCACGACCCTGATTTCGAGCCTCCTGAGGTGGATGGACGCTAACTTCAGTAGGAATAGATGACCCATTAAAGCCTTTGACAACGTCACTTTTTCTAGATGCTGCTGCACTACTTCTTTGAGAGCTAGACAATAATTCTTTTTGCACCTTAATGGCATCTGAAAACTGCTTAAACATGTGAGGCTGATGGTCAATCATTCCAACACAAAAATGAATATCTGACCACAATGTCTTCATAGATAGTGTTTTTTAAATGAATCGTGTACATTAAGAAGGATTAATCTATAGGCACACAACTTATTCATGAAAAAAAGATTGAAATACATACTTTTAAAATCGCAATGTAAAAAACGTGCAATATCAATGCGTGCAATATCAAAACACATTTGCATCATGATATAGTTTAAAGTGCACTGCAAATTATACTTTTACGTATCAAAACGTAAATTCGTATGAACATTACAGAATTGTTCCAAACATGATTGATATACATCACTAAGATAAACTCCAAGGGCATGAAAAGATCCAATAAAAATCACGCATCAATAAAAAAAACGCAGCAATGAAAAATATCCAATTTTTCAAACGTATGAACTTTAAATCCGCCCTTAATCCAATACAAAACGCAGATAACCCATGGAAAACCTAACGCAACAAACTGAGAAATTAAAATAGTACTTCGGAGGAAACAAACTAGACTTACTATACTTCATGGAAGAATGCTAGGTGGAGCAGAGTAAAAGCAAAACAATGAATAGGAGAAACGATCAATACGTCGGCGGGGTGAAATCGGCTCAATACGCGCAAGGAGAGAAGCACGACGAAGGAGGAACCTGTCTTTGGAAAGATTTGAGGAGAATCGGTTATGGAAATAATCATGCAGCGTGATCTTAGCCGCAGGAAAGAATAGGGGAAACGTTCCAACGAAATTGACTTCTTTGCCCTTGGGGTCACTTAGGCGCACGGATGATTAGGGGATGATTAGGAGATAATCCAACGATCCACATCTACTCTTTTTTACTCTCCTAAGATTAAGTTCTCACATGAACCTAAATATATATATATATATGTATATGTATATGTATATGTATATGTATATGTATATGTATATGTATATGTATATGTATATGTATATGTATATGTATATGTATATGTATATGTATATGTATATGTATATGTATATGTATATGTATATGTATATGTATATGTAGAGAAATCATCTCATCAGGCCGGCCTGACGGGCTGCCCCGTCCGGCCGAGCCCGTTTGGGAACCTTCCCGGTGTAATTTTTTGATGAAATTTTTTGAACATGTTCCTCATCAAGTCTAGTTTGTCCATACCAAATTTCAGCTCAAAATTCGATCGGGAAGGTCGTCAAATGATTTTTGCAAGTTAACTGGTCCGGAATATGTATTTTCCGGACCAGTTAACTTGCAAAAATCATTTGACGACCTTCCCGATCGAATTTTGAGCTGAAATTTGGTATGGACAAACTAGACTTGATGAGGAACATGCTCAAAAAATTTCATCAAAAAATTCCACCGGGAAGGTGCCCAAACGGGCTCGGCCGGATGGGGCAGCCCGTCAGGCCGGCCTGATGAGAAGAGCTCTCTGTATATGTATGTATATATATATATATATATCAGGAATATTACTGTCCGGAATTTCCGGACAGAACCCCCGTCCGGCCTCCTCCATTTGGGGGCCTTCCCAGTGTTATTTTTTGCTCAAATTTTGTGTGTATGTTCCTCATCAAGTCTAGTTCATCCATACCAAATTTCAGCAAATAAATCAATCGGGACGGTCATCAAATGATTTTTGCAAGTTAACTGGTCCGGAATATGTATTTTCCGGACCAGTTAACTTGCAAAACTAATTTTATGACCTTCCTGATTGAATTTTTTGCTGAAATTTGGTATGAATGAACTAGACTTGATGGGGAACATACACAAAAACGTTGAGCAAAAAATACCACCGGGAAGGCCCCCAAAAGGAGGAAGTTGGACGGCGCTCCAGTCAGGAAATTCCTGACCGGAAGATTACTCTCTCTCTCTCTCTCTCTCTCTCTCTCTCTCTCTCTCTCTCTCTATATATATATATATATATATATATATATATATATATACTTTTATTTTATTAATAAAATATATTTTAAATATTTTTTTCATCAAAATCGAAAGAATCAGCCAACACAACCATTTCAGTCAGAAATTCATAAATTTTATCAGAATCAGCCAATTCAACCGATTTCAGTGTTACCAAACAGGCTCTAAATGTATCAAACATGAGGACTGGGGCATTACGGCGCATAAGAAGAACATATAATTATACATAAGACATATACTCTGTATAATGGTATAAAATTACAACTAATAAAGTTAAAAAATAATAGTTAAATTATTTTATTTTTTCCCCAAATTATATTTTGGGGCCCATTCATAGATTGGTAGTTTCATGGGGTTTTGACCTCAATATATTACTAAAAAGTGGACAATTGATAAAAAAAGCGACATTTTGTTTTAATTTCCGAAAATATGACTAATAAGCTTTAAACTTACAAAATTACCTCTAATTTGTAGTTATTTTATTTATAGTTACACTACCGGGCACAGTGACATCCGCCACAGTGACATCTATTACAGTGACAACCGGGCACCGCCACCGGCCGGTGAAACCGCCGCCTGCGGCCATAGTGACACCTCTGCAGCAACATATTCACAGTGATACCTCCACAATTACTCCACCATAGTTACTTCTCCCCACCAGCCACAGTTACTCGTGTCGTAGTTACTCCGGTGACAACTGGTCACCATCGCATGTCAACGACTTCACCCTCAGTCCCCAACCCTAGCCCCCCAACCATCAGATCGTCACCACCGTCGAAACCACCACTGCCACCCGTCAGTGCCATCCCACCACTAACTCACTCCCCCAGTTACCATCTCGCACCCCATACCCCCCGTTTCTGGCACTCAACGCCCCTCACCACCCCAAACCTAACCCTAGCTGTTGTAGGCCCCCACTACCCTAGATCTAACCTTAGCCGCCTCCGCCCAACATTTCTGCCTCCTAAAGCTAAATCTTAGCCACAGTCCGTCTGGTAATCTAACCGCCGCACTGCTCATCGCCGAACTCTAGTTGCTGCCATCGCCTTCACAATGAGATTTGTTTGCTTTATCATTGCCGAAGAAGAAAAGAGAAAAAAAATCGTGACACAGATGACAACAGATGTGGCCTGGGAGCTGCGCTGCTGCAGTGGGAGCGATGTTGGGCTGGTGGAGGCGGCAAACGGTGGCTATCTTCACGAAGCGGCAATAGTCGGCAAGTGGCAAGTCACTAGGTAATCGATCGCTGACCTGATAGATGGAGGCGATCTATCATGATTGAATTAAATAAAAGGTTTTGATTAAAAGTTCTCATTATAACAAGTTCTCATTTTAAGATGAGCTCTCACTAGAGTCATCCCCTACGTAGTACGGAGTAATATTTATAATTTCAATTATACTCTGTAAGTTGGACATATAGGGTATGTTTGGCACAACTAGCTGAAAAGATACTTTTACAAACTTTTTAGTAACTGTTATCTTTTAGTGACTGAAAAGATCTTAAAAGTAAAAGGTAGTAGCTGTTTGGTAAAAAGCTGACTGTTTGATTTAGTTTTGTTTGGTATAGAAGCTGTTGGGACTAATTAATGATAGAAGCTATAGTAATTCTTGCTAATTCTTGCTCCTTCCTTATATGGAACAAACAATTTACTCTTTTCTTTCTTACTATATGCATATTGCAACCACTGTAATAATATATTTACTTCAGCTCTGTAACCTTTGCTTTTGGATCGCCTTAAATAGTTTTTCTCATTTCTTTTCGAGTTTCTGTGTATAGTTTGATTTTTCTCTTCAAAATAATTCTCAAACGCATACTCCCTCCGTCCCTTAAAACTTTGCCAACTTTCCTTTTTTGGATGTCCCACTAACTTTGCCACTTTCCCTTTTAAGTAATGAATTTGTGGTTCTAGTTAATTCTCTCCCCTCTGCACAAACCTCAACCACACAGTTTTTACTTTATTAATCCTCGTGCCGGTCAAACATGGCAAAGTTTTAAGGGACGGAGGTATTATAATTTACCATAAATATCATGGAACTAACTAACTTAGAGCATCTTCAAGAAAACTAGAAAACAGATCATGAATGACCAATTGAAGAACATCTTTGCTAAATTAAACTAAAAGAATGTGAAACCCCTTTTAAAAGTAATTAAATACTCAAGGTATATCAGCAAGCAAACCAAAGAAATAAAAGCAATATTGCAAATATATAGCAATCAGATGTTCTCTTTGTCAGTGTTGAAGCATTGTTGAGAATAAGAAGGGAAAACTGGTGGATTTCCTGCATTATGATTAATGCAGAGACTGGTTCTTGTTTTCTCAGCAAGTGGGGTTCTGCTTCTAGATATACAGCGAGAAGGCCGACATTCCTTGTTTCCTCCTCCTCCTCCTCCTCCTTCACCCGCCCTTATCGTCTTCAAATCGTCCCACAAATCAATCGTCTCAAACCTCCTGCTTAAGTCATTCACTCCCTCCTCCATACTTACTTGATCTCCTCCTCTCTGGCATCTTCTCCCACTCTCATGGCTCAACTTCCCTTTCAGTCTCCTCTCATCTCTCTTGATCATACTTGTGGGTTCCATCCCTGTCCCGCTTCTCCTTTCATGCTCCCCAAACCCAACTTTTCTCCACTTGCAAATTTTCTCCCTATCAATCTCTACTGATCTTTGAGAGGGTAACATAGAAGTACTGTTTAGCCTCCTCAAAGATGGAGCACTTCTGGGCTGAGTTGATAAAGAAGAAGAAACTTTGGGCTTCTGATGTTTCCCATTATTCCCGCCTGGAGTTCGGTCTACAGAAGATTTGCTTCCCTTTCCTATCTGAAACTTCAAAAGTCCTTTTGCTTTTGGTAACACCACCTGCAATATAATGCATGGATGGATAGCAACATACTGATTAACAACACCATAAAGAAGTCCAAGTTATTAATGAGACCTTGGAAGTATATGATTAAGGATAAACAATAGACCTCTTCAAAAAACCCGATCTTAGGAGATGGAAGACGAAGACGAGAAGGTTTCGAGTTCATCTTCTTATCAGTAGCTTCTTGAGAAGAACTGATCATGTCAGATCTTCTTGGTGTGACATTTAGATCAGTGTCAGTAACTTGGTGAGGAGAATCTGCACTGTCCAAACTAATCTGACTATTAAGGTTGGATGTTGATGATATTGATGATATATTTTTTCCTGATCCTAGCCTGTCTTTGAAAAGGGTGGAAGAGGCTTTTGTGGAGGAAGAACGTTTGAATAACATGTCAACATGAGAGGTTGACTCTTTCGTTGCGAAGGAAGAAACACAAACAGATGAAGAAACAGCCGGAGTTGATGATGATGATGAGGAGAAACGAGATGAAATACTGCATAAACTCCCAAAAGCAAATTTCTTTGCAGTTGTTGGTACTTTAGGCTGCTTGATTTTAAATTTCTCTTCTGATGGTCTTTGATTATTTGCTGCATGGTCTCTTTTTGAAACCGCTCGGGTCTTGTTCAAAAAAACAAGAAAGCAAGAAGATTCATTCTCATGCATAGAAATAGCGAACTTATATAAAAGACACCAAAAAAAGTCTGGCATACCATTTTGCCGGTGGTTTTAACAGATGTATTATCAGTTCTTATATGTGCATCTTGTTGGGAAGGTGGCTGGAAATTGGCACCTTTGTTTATGAGTGATAGTTCATCAGGATCTAAAACTCCTGCAAATTTTCCCATACATTATAAAAAGGGTTCCTTCACAATCACGTTGATCAAACCAAAAACAAAATCAAGCCAAAGTTAAAAACTCCTGATTGTTGTTAGTACCAGAACTGGTAAAGAAGGCGTTATCCCAAGCCAAACTCCTACGCAAGTAACTGGGTCTTCCAGATTGAGGCGGAAAGTTGCATTGTGTAGCACCATGATTGGAAGAAGAGTTTCCAAATTTGAAGCATTCGTTGTCTCCAAGTTTATCCCACGTCACTGCAAAATGGGGAAGAGGGCAAAAATGGGTATTAGCCCAACAGCAGTATCCATCATCCAGTTCAGGAACAATAAGAACATTACACCAGCAATTCTTGAAACCTCTTCATTCTCTAGGCTTCCAAATGGCAGAAAGACAACAATACAATATAATGAAATCTCCAAACATTCAAGCGAGTATAGTTATGTAAGTTGTTTTTAAGCAATTAAGCCCAAACCATTTTGAAAAACTGGGTTTCTCATTTCATATATTATCTATATGTCAAAAAGAAAAAGCACAAAATATGTTTTCTTGGTGGTGTCTAATCCAGTGTTCTTGATAAAATTTAACCAGATTTTTATTTTCTGTGCAAATGTCATAAATATTGTTGCTATTTGCTAAAGCTGCAGTCTTTCTTCAAAAAATTGAGAAACTGGGTATGAAGCAACAAAGAATAATCAACCAGTAATATATACAGCACATAAAAGAGGAGAAACAGAGGAGCTGGTAACCAGAAAGTCTAAGATCTTCAAGAGATTCAAATAAAGGAGAAGCGATGAGGAAATCATCCTCTGAAGATATATCAATCAGCTTCAGCCTTTCATCTCCAATATCATTGTAACTCAAACTCGTGATCTCCTTCCTTTCTTCCCCTTCATCCATTCTTTTACTCACAATCCCATTTGTTTGTAAATAAATGCTATAGCAAGAGGGCAAGAAAATGTTTGAATGTTATGTATGTAGTATGTACTCTAACTCCATAACCGATGATTACAGTATTACAGACTAAGTCGGAGGGTAATTATTTACTCCGTATTATTTAAGGAAATTATAGATTTGGAATAGCCGCTGATTCTGGAATGGGAATGAAAATTAATGCGGCAAAAATACATGCATGGCTGATCCCATTTTGATTTAAAATCTCAAGTGCTCGTTTTCTTTAGGGAGCTGTTATAAATGTACGAATAAACATTGTGTTCACCAATAGTCAAATGAATAAGTAGACATTTGTTCACGTTTATAAAATCTACGAAACCAAATTAGAAAAAAAAAAAAAAAAAAAAAAACCTACACAGACATGTGTAAAAGTGTGTACACCAAAATAGTGTGTACAAAAAAAGTATTTTTGTTTTAGAATACATTTAAAATAATTATACTTAATAACTTGTATTTCACATGATTTAGTGATAACAAATTGTAGTCGATTATGTTACCAAGTTGATAAGGTCATTATGTTGCAATGAAACTGATATATTTTGAATTTTGATGACTAACTCAAGTATGTGTTTGGTTTCTTGTTTATTTAGTAAAACCAATCGAATCAGATATGAACATGCTATTCGTAATCATGATATAAGTATTTAGTAATCATATTTTACTCCTCAGCTTCATTTAATTACATGTATCAAAATGCATCAAATTTTTTGTTAGAATGACCCCTTCTGATATCATCTCATGGATCTCAAAAGGTGACAAAGGGCGGAATGGGTGCGGATCGTCCATTGAATTTGAGAGGCCAGGTTTCAAACATCAAGTTGATGCCTAATTGTATTTGCCTATTATTTGTGACTTTCGCTATGTGAAAGATTGAAGCCCCTTATGATTTAAAACCAAGCCCACTATAATAAAACACAAACCTGCATTTATACTTTTGCGTATTTGGAGGACGTAGCTTATTTACAAAAATTTGACAGCAAAAAAGTTGGCAACAAATAATTAGCCCGGCATGTATAGTCCCTTGAGAAATGACCTCGATCACAAGCCCGAGCGGCCGAGCATGTTAGTCAGTTAGTGTGTGATATTTTTTATTTACTTAAGCGGCGGTTATAGCATCACCATCACCTGGCCGGCTGGCCTATACCCTTGAACCTTTCTCTTTTGAAAAGCATAAAAAATGATTTTATCTACATAGGAGGAAAAAAGAATTGAAGCGTGTATTACATTTACTCTTCAGCTGGAAACTTTTTCTAATTGGTGGAGGCCCCCAAAGCTTTGTGATGGTTGGGTCCCATGAACATTCTCCTTTTCTGATAAGTAGAACTAACTATTTGATTAAAAAAACCTTTTTTAACATTAGAATCAAAACCAGACCAGATGAAGTTTCAGGAGTAACAAAGGCAGATATGTGTGTCGTCTGCTCGGTCATCAAGACCTGCTTGCAGCTTCCTTGAACTGCGTGTTTTTTGAAACAACTCCTGCTCATAGAGTTCAGGGGAAAAACATCAAACACGTGCGAACATTGGCACAGGCACAGTTACATATGCCAATGCTAATGTCTGTTGGCTGATTCTTTCAAAGGAACCCAAGAAAATAACTAACCTTTTCCTTTTCGATCCCTACAACCTGCACTTCCACAGCAACATTTGAATGCTTTGATGGGATGATCTAAATCATTGAAATCAATCCCATAATCCTGACATTGTAACACATGGGTTTTAAGTAGGTGTAACCCTTATTGTACAGAGTAAATCTCAGGGAAAATCGTAAAACACAACCAAGGAGCTAACTAAAATAACATAATCATCCCAAATATTTAATCTGAAATCTATCATTTAGTTCTATTTAAGAACATTGCGACAAATGATTTTTCAAAAGAGCACATTAGTAGGTGTGATTTTGTAAGATGTCATGATATGAAAAAAGGATGGTTAATGTAAATTTACATAAAAAATTTATAATTTTCATTAAATAATATCACACATTATTACAACTTAACATTAAAGTAACTCACCCATGTTAGCTCTTCTAATGCATTCACTTTTCGTTTTGTGAAAAATGCAATCTGCAAGGGATAGAAAAGGGTTTAAGATATTCTCCCTTAGTATACAGCATATAAAAGACGTGTAACATGACCACCTGAAATGACAAGAAATGAGATCAAACAAGCCACTTACATGATAGTAGTGATGGTCAGGAGTCTCAATCTGAACTGGTATCTCAATCAAATTCGAATCGAAGCACCTGAGTGAAACTCAGCATAACCAAAATGAATACACATCAAGATTTTGTTATAAACAGAATGATCTAAGAATTAAATAAAAGGCAATTGAAATGTTATGTGTGATCACCAATCATCACCACTACTAAGAAACTAAAATATAGACTTTAGAGCCCTCCAAAATCGTTAATTCAAACTGACCGCAAAACAACAAAATATCATATATTCTCAAGGCATCTGCATAAATAAAGTGACCAGTATGTTAAAAGCACCTGTGGTTTATGAATCGGCCAACATTTCCATAGTATGTTGCGTCCAAACAAAGTGCATCTTCATCCTTGAGAACTCCTTCTGAACCCCAATCAGCATCTAATAAGACAGGATACGTGTGCCTTTGATTCCTACTTCTTTCTTGATTACGCTCATACAACTCAATGTTGGTTAATATCTCCCCAATATACTCGCACACAAATGCTCCTTTTGGCAACTCCTCTAGTGTTTGAACACCCCAGCCCTTACCATCACTCGTAGAGAACACCTGAGTAAATATAACCCCTATTGATCAGAGGTGTGTATTCTATTTCTAGTATAATAAATTACTAGCAACATAGTATATTTTCCAACTTACATGGCTATAACTAGATATAGTGGTGCTAAAGGAAAAGAAAGAAAAAACATTAACTTCACATTTTAACATTCTAGAATGATGACCATAGTGATTCAACTTGTTGAAATATATTGTGTTAGTGAGGAGGCTGTAGATAGAAGTATCCACCAAGTCTAAAAGTCTTCACAAGCCAAGGTTTTTTGTTTGGATGGATGGTTTTGAAGGGGTTTTGAGGGTTAGTCTATATGTTTGTAAGTTTTTGAGATTTTTAAATTGAGACATTAACATATTAATATGTGATCATGTGACAAACTTTTAATTATTTATAAAACCATTTGATTTATATTAAGACATAGACTAAGCCCACTAAAACTCCCCTCAACAGTGTGTGTGGAAACAGGTTGTTTGCAATTTTGCATCATAAAGATTCACAGGGAAATTTCCCGAAATAGGAGTACAAATAATGTAAAATTGTAAAACAGAAGTACCATATTTTTATTCCCTAAATAGGAGTAACTTCATGACACACTGTAGTTTTAGTATCATATTTTGGCATTGTCAAGCTTTAATATGGCAGCATTACTGCCATAACTGGCACTATTTTCTAAACATTTTCAGTAATTACTCCTATTTAGATAATAAAAACACGGCGCTCCTATTTTGGAATTCTGCATAGTTTTTATTCCTATTTAGGGCAATTTCTTAAATTTGCACTGAAGAAATTTCAATTTAAATGTGAGAAGATTCTTGTTTCATCTTTGGAAAGAAATCCCAAAGAAGACATAACTCAAATTATCACAAAACATGTCACCTGCAATCTTCGTGTTATTCCTCTCTGTACAACACGGTTTCCACAACTCATATCGCAGCAACATTTTCTCCAGCATTCTTTGATAAACTTCCTTACTAGGTGGCCCTTGCACTTTTCTGGCCTACGAGTATTCTTAGCTCTCTCTAATGGGCAATCTTCACAGTAAAAACTGTAATGCTTCTGAGGTTCTTGATACATTGATATACAATCTCGAAGAAACTCTTCTCTGAGAATCCCTTCTGATGTGTAAGCGAATTCTCCTCCAGTTTCACGTGCACACGCACAGGGTACCGAGTGTGAGAGGCAGTCTCCTTCACACTTTCCACAACAATCATCATCGGCTATACGAGCCAGTGAAAACTGTACATATGCACTTTGATAGACTGTATTTTCCCTAATATAAAAAAAATTAGGTCTTCCTCCTATCCCAATTCTGTCCAGCAAAGAAATACGCACTGCCTCATTACCATTTGTTATATCATAGATCTTGAAATCTTTTTTCTTACCACGACTCATGGGTTGAGGTCGTGCAACTAAACTGAGTGAAGATGAAGAATTAGAGCTTGAAGCTTTTGTCATTGATTGTCTTTTAGATTGGTCCACTCTTAGAGATTCTCTATCGGAAAGACAACTGTTGGTGGATTTTTCCTCAAGAAATCTCACAAAAGGATTATTAGCCAGTTCCAAATAACCTTCACATACATCTTTTAGTATCTTCCTTATAGAAAACTGGAAGTCATCACTTTTACATGAAGTGTAATTGTCCTCCACCAATTTTAGAACGTCATTGATACTTGGACTGAAGTGGTTGGGTTGTGCAGAGAAACTATCACATCTTAGATAAAGTTTAACCCTTCCACAGGAAGACGAAACTATATCAGAAATACTATGCAAGTTGGTCCGGAAATCAAATGATGGTGAACCTACTTGGTTGATGGTTGTACGGCATTCGGTTGCATGATGTCTTGCAGGTTTGGGCTGTCTGGTAGAACTGTTATCCAATTTGTTTGAAACAACTGAATGAAACAACAGGGGAGAAACGAGATACACATGTTACATTCATTCTGATAAGGCATAAACAATAAATATTCTTCAACTAGACACCCATTTAATGATCAATAAATATGAATCCACCTGGAGATATATTTGGAGCAAGACAAGTATTGGGCAGGATTTGATTAGATTCATCCACGAAAACAAGATCTGTTCCTCTATCCACCAATGAATTCTTTGGATTTGATCCAAACATTTCAAAATTTGAATGGATACTTCCATTGTCCATCATTGAAAAAACCTGATCCTCATCCAAGGTCCCACCATTGTCCAAACATTTCAGTTTCTTACAAGGTCCCACCACATCCATTGTTCTAGAATGATTTTCATTGTCTGGAGGCTACCAATTCAAAATGTGGAGCATCAGATCATATCACTTTAGTCCTAGAGTAAAGAGCGCACACACACTCTCTCACTCTCATGGAAAGGGGAATTGACAAGGGATTGAGTAGTGTTCCTGTCAGGACCTCCAAAAACGGACCTCCTTACGGACCTCGGCGTTTGGGCCCCTTCCCGGTGGAATTTTTTGATGAAATTTTTTGAGCATGTTCTTCATCAAATCTAGTTTATCCATACCAAATTTCAGCTAAAAATTCCATCGGGAAGATAGTCAAATGATTTTTTGAAGTTAACTGCGCACATTATATACATATAAAATGCAGTTAACTTCCAAATATTATTTGACTGTCTTCCCGATGTAATTTTTAGCTGAAATTTGGTATGGGTAAACTAGACTTGATGAAGAACACGCTCAAAAAATTTCATCAAAAAATTCCACCGGGAAGGGGCCCAAACGCCGAGGTCCGTACGGAGGTCCGTTTTTGGAGGTCCTGACATGAACTTTCCTCTTATAAAGAAATTAAAAAAACTAACAGGTGAACCTTATCCTCCGCATCTTCAAATATTGCATCTGCAAGCGTGCGATAATTATCCTCTTGTATGAGTTCCCATTTGTGACCATACAAATTTAGTAGCTTCCTGAGTACTGGTTTAACAACTGATGAATGAAGGCCCAAGCTCTTCATAGCATTGAAGGCATCTACAACCCTTGGATCAGGCGCCATATAATTTATATGGAATGTTTCTGTAAAACTGATTAATCTCCAACACTGCATTAAAAAAACACTTCCTTAAACACAAATCAGTAATACAATAGAAACAATAAGTCAATAACTAGTCAACAAAAAATCTGTCTAATACTACAGCATTGTCATTCTCTGATATACTATAGCACTAATCAAGTAATAAGCTGCTCCAAAATTATCATCACTAAAATCCAGATATTACTTGCCAAGCAAGAAAAACTTAAAATTATGCCCATTAGCTTGTAAGCAGCTTGAACAATCATGATTGACAAAATTGGAATGTTTGGGATGTGTTTGTGTAACTATTAATGACAGAAGCATAGCTATAAGGGGAATGCAATTTAACTCAACAACAAAATCGTGAAAGTTGTACAGTTGAACTAAATACGGTGTAATCATATCACAAGTTCATGACGGAAATAAAGTCACATTTCTAGGTTTTCACATGATAAGAAATAAGGATTTCATACGTTATTGAAGAGCCCTTATCAGCGGGAGCTTGAAATCGGAAAGTGCAACGCCGCCGTCTCCGACAGGAGCGAGGGAGTCGGCTACATATACTCCGACGAGTATATTTATGTGCCTTCTGATGCTTATGAAAAATGCAAAAAAAAAAAAAAAAAATGGTTTCTTCTGAGGGTGAAGCGAATCGGCGCGGCGAAGGTGGCAGGGATAGTGCAACAGAATCAAAAATGAGGAGGGAGGTACATTTCAGTTAATAAAGTGTGCAAACTCTCATACGTGTCAGGCCATGATTGGCTCGGACTCTGGGTAAGTGGGCCGTACCGCAATTAAGTTGACTGGGTAGGAGTTCCTAAGCCAATCCAAACGGCTTGTAAATAGAAACAAGGAATTGACCCACTTCTAAAAGCTTGTTTGATGATCCAATTTTTGTCTTTTTTTTGAATGGAAATAATCTATATTAAATCTAGACATAATATCTGTGGGATGCACAGGTACATCTAGATCTGAATAACAACTTATTTAAATTTACTCTTATTTTGATCATACGTAATACTATCCTCCGTTCTCTTTTAATCGCAACATTGGATTTTTTGCACTATTCACATATTCTACTTTGACTATATTTTATTCATTAATGTATTATAAATTAATTTTTTTTAAAATATTATTAAATTCTTCTAATTCTAAAGTTTCAAAATATGATTTTTTTGAATTTTTTACTAATAAGGAATGAAAGATATTAATGGTCAAACTTGTGCGTTGACAAACGTGAAATGTTGACTGTTGCAATTAAAAGGGAACGGAGGAAGTATATTATTATTTTATATAAAAAATATAGTAGAGTTTATATTTTGTAACCTTGATTACTTAATTGTAGTTTGTAGGAAAAAAGAAAATCTTGATCGTATGAAAATTGCAAGTCAATTGACAATAAAGGCTAAGGTGTGAGAATAAGTACTACTACGTACTTGATGATGAAATACTATGACTTCACAGTTTTAAGTGCTTCATTATATGGCCCTAAGGAACAAGGTGCAACATGTGCTTGGCACCGGGGACCACACTTATAGGGGGCTCCAAAAATTTAGTATGTAGTACTAGTTATAGGTTGATTTTTTTGAATGTTATGTACTATTCCATATTTCAAAAGATCTATAATTTTTAGATTGTCTAATTTGTGTACTTTAAACTTTATAAAACTTATACTACATATTTCAATGAATTATCTAGTCTATTTGTATTTATTGTTAAATTTTGTATCATTTCTTGTTTTAAGAGCCTCAATTCATCATTTAGAAATGGGACCTCTAAATCCATTAGACGTCCTCCTAAGGAAGCTTTATAAAAATGAACTATCATATATGTCGGCATTGTACAAAAAGAAGCATAGTTTTTAGAAAAGTTCTTGGTCACAGCCAAAGCAGCGTTGATCCCTGGCGGGGCAGCAGGTCACTGATGAGTTGGTCATTGTGTTAGGTGTGGGGCATTGGTGTGTCACTGTGGTCGAAGCCTATGTCACTGTGGCCGCAATATGTGTCAATGTGGTCGGAAACTATGACCAGAGTCACTGTGTCACTGTGACCGACATCAATGGAATCGGAGTCAATGTGTCACTAGAGGGTGTAACTATCACTATGTAACTGTCATTGGAGAGATGTAACTGTGATTTCAGTCACATTTTTTGAAAATAAAAATAAAAGGTCACTTTTTGTCTTTTATCTTCTTTTTAGTACTCCCTCTGTTCTCCTATAATTGTTCCATTTTTCATTTTCGCATGTCCCCTTAATATTGTCTCATATCATATTTAATACCATTTGTGTGACTCTGATTCATTCTTACTTTATTCTCACTTTATCAACTAATTATCAATCACATAATTTTAGTTTTCTTAAAAACCACAGCACTCCCTCTCAGTTGGTCCCAACCACTCCCTCCCATCCAAAAATTAGGGGGACAGAGGTAGTAATATATATGGGGTCGAAACCCCTTCTAGAAATTCCGGCCTATTGAATAAAGGACAATGTTCAAGTAAGGTAGGCCTAAGAATTACAATTCTTAGGCCTCTTTCATTTGAGTTCTTCCGGGTCGAATTTTTTTGATGAAATTTTGTGAGCATGTTTTCCATGAATCGTAGATTATGTCCACCAAGTTTCACAATAAAATTCAATCAGAAATTTGGTGGACAAAGTATACCTTTCATGAAGAACATGCTCACAAGATTTCATCAAAAAATTTGACTCGAAAGCACCTCAAATGAAAGAGGCCTAAGAATTACAATTCTTAAGCCTACCTTACTTGAACATTTTAATATCACTGTAAAGTTATCATGCAGTATATTATAGGAGTGAAGTGAGAAAATATTACCGAAGTATATTAAAGGCTTTCTTTAACAAAAATGAATGGGTTGTATCAATTCTATATTAAAAACATATAATTAATTTGAAGTATATAACTACAATGAAGGGATAGTCGATTTTATTAGATTAGAAATTTAGAATTGAAGTTTAATATGTAGATTACGTTTACAAAGTTCGCTCGATTATGTGTTTCAAACCTGCAAAAAGAAATTGCTCTATCAATTATTTTTAGATTTTTATACCCTTAACAATGGAGTACATGAATGCTCACTTTCATTTTCTAAAAAATGCTTTACATAAGAATACGCATAATATACCACATGTGGACAATTATTGCATTTATAAAAAATGCTTTAAAATTTAACATGTTACACTTATTTGAATGAATGTACATTCATTCTTAAATAAGTGTAACATGTTAAATTTATACTACCTATGTTCTTAAATAAACGCAACATTATTCATATGTTCTACTTTGATTACGTTATATTTATTAGTGTATAGTATTAATAAAATATTTTGAAAAAAAATTGTTAAATTTGTCTCATCTTAAATTTTTAATTAGAATCTGAATTTTTTAATTTTTTACTAATAAAGAATTAAATATACTGATGGTCAAAGTTGTGCATCGACAAACGTGTTCAGTCCAAGGCTATGTTTGTCACGCCATTTCAGCTCATAATGGACTGAAATTTTATCAATTCAGTCAATAATTTCAAAAGGAGTTGTGTTTGGCAAAACGGCTACATGAGGCTTAAGTGAAAAAAGTAGAGCTGAATTATACAACGTTATTGATCTAAACGTCTGAGTTCAGCCGATTCAACATTATCATCGTGTTCCGGAAATAACCCCACAACCTTGGTTCGTTTGTGCACATGTCACTCCCTTTTCGTTACAATTTATTTTGCTTGATTTTATCCTTGCTATAATAGTATAATCCCTTCCTCTGTGAATCGCTGACTACTGCTTCTTTGCGCTAGCCATGCCACAAATTTTTCCTTCACCTACTCGATCTTTGTACCGATACAAGAATTGAGAATTTCAATCCCACAATAAACTATGCTCTGTTTCAACTTCGTTTTGATGATTTTTTATGGATACATTCGTCAACACCTCAAACATACTCCGTAGTTTTTGTGGAAGAGAAATATACTCCGTAGTTGAAAACATTTTTTTTTCAATCAATAATTAAAACATATTCTAAATAGGTCAATTGCACAAATCAATATAAGTATGTACTATGTTATTATATGTATTTCCTACATTAATCAATCGATATGAAAATTCAGTTCTGTATTGATATTTATTTGTTTTTGAGTTAAATTGTTCTGAATATTTTTATTTTTATTTATAATATTGTAATTGAATTAAAATATTGAAGAATTAATGAAGTGTCCCTTAATGTAATTTGATATTATTCGGATACCTTTTCAGTTGTTTTTGTCAAACGGGACTACTCCATTCAGCTAGAAATTCAGTTTCAGCACTTCACAATTCAGCTCCAGACAATAGTTTCTGATTCAGACAATAGCCCCTAATTCAGATATTTGCCCCCAGCTTCATTGTGGCAAACATGCATAGCCCAAGTATAAACGCCATCTTTCATCGCACAAAACCATTTGCACCGGAGGGACCAAGCTAGAAAAAATAGTCAAAGTTGACCGGCCGGAACCTGGTCGGCATCAAACAAACCTAAGTTTCATGCATGAGCAGGAGATCAATCTCATCCCGTCCGACGAGTGACTTCTTCTATAAAGATTCTTATTATTATTCCTCCCAGTACTTCCAATAAGCCTACAGCTACCATTATCGTCGTCTTCCGTCACTGGAAAAAATTCATCCTTTGTTTCTCCGGGCGCTTCAGCCCGAATAATACAAGCCTCAAATATGGAGCTCCTGGCAACAGGGTAATCGTCACCGTCACCTCCGAAGTAGTCCCCAGCCGCGAACGATGAAGCTGACGGTGGCGGGTGGTTTGTCACATGGGTATTCGGCGATACTGAGAACACCTCATTCTTGTTCTTTTGGTTCCCATATCCATCTAGCACTGGCTCTACTCGAACAAAAAATAGAACAACATAATCAATTAATCATTTCAATATATAAGGCCGGCTAGGAAATGACTCCGATCCTGTTTTAAAAATACTCCGTATTTGTTAAATCATACTCCCTCCCATTCAAAAACAAGTTCCACATTTGACTTCACACATATTAAGAAAAGAAATTTGACTTTACTGTGGATTTCACTGTTTGGACACTGTTTGACACTGTTTGGAACTGTTTTGATGTAGATAATTTGCCAAATAAAGAAAGATTTGAAAGTGGAACTTAATTTTGGAACTGCCCGAAAAGGAAAGGTGGAACTTGTTTTTGAATCGGATGGAGTAAATATTACTCTCTCATTTAAAAGTTCTCATGCTTTTATGATGTTTGAGTGTTTGACTAGTCACAAAGTTAATGGAATTCTATCATTACATAAATTATTTATGATAAATAAAATTTACATACTCAGAAAGTACATTACAAGTTTTTTTAAGTTGCAAAAAGAAAAGAGAAATTACTCTTAATAGGATTAAAAACGTGTGTATATTCCAACACATGGTTATCATGTTTCTATTCCTTAAATAGAAGTAAAGAGTAAATATATTCATGTTTTGGCAATACTAGACTTTAAAGATAGACTATTTGTCAAACTTGAAAGTAATTACTCATATTTAGAGAATAAAACTATGACAGTCCTATTTTGGAACTCTCAAACATTTTTACTCATATTTCAGAAATTTTCCGAAAAGAAAAATCAAATTTGATATAAAAAAAATTGGGCATACAAAGTAAAAGATTAAGAACAATTCACATTAACTGGAAAACAATACGTGGAATGTGGACGAGAACCATTCAATACTCCATATATGTGAAATTAAATTTCCCTAAATAGGAGTAAAAACGTTCTGAAATTTCAAAGTAAGATTTTCATGCATGTTTTATCTCCGAAGTAGGAGTAACTACTGTCATATTTTGGCAATACCATACTTTAAATATGATACTCCATCCGTCCCATTTTACATGTATTATTTTCATTTTTGGTTTGTCCCAGAATATAAGTGTCACATTTCACTTTTTGGAAAGAATGTGTGGTTCACATGCACCATTTCACTTTACTATATTCAAATCTCAAACACAACTTTTACCTTTTAAACCAGATCAAATTAGACCAAATTGTTTTCTCATTAAAAGCATTTGAATAATACTTTCCTTCTTTAAAACGTTGTCATCTTAATTGACTGGTACAGTATAATATTTGAAAAGTTATAAATTTTATACTTTTATGAAAGTCTTTTAATAAAGAATTTTTTTTTACTCCAGGGGGCCTGGGGTAGGGGGCTGGGGGCCTGGAGTAATGAGGACTGAAACTCACTCCATTGAGTTTCGAACCCTTATGCGTCTAGCGGGTTTCGAACTCGAGACCTCCCACTAGGCACGGTAACCTCACAACCAGCTGGACTGGAATGATTGGTTAATTTAATAAAGAATATTTTCATATCGTTTTATTCTAAATAATTTTCTATAAAAATATACTCCGTAAAACTGATTGAAATTAAACTTGGTTAACCAAAAATTTAAAGATTGACAAAGTTTTAAGGAATGAATTGGTATGATTCTCACCACCGGCGGTAGGCTCTGGTCGTGGGACGTTATTGTCTTTCAAACGTACACCGACGTTCAGAATACCCTGCAAATGCCCTGTTGGACGACAAAGGCGGAGGGCGAGGGGCCGCATGGCCGGATTCTTTACCGAAAGGGGAGGGTAAACGCCGCTTACAACCAGGCTGGCGGTGCCCACAGGGAGGTCACGCAGCCAGGCCACATTGTAGATCTCAAACTTTATCTCCGACGATTTCGAACCCAGAAACTTGTCGTCCACGTGGAGCTCGAATTTGTGGTTCCACGTAGGGTTTGTGCCGCCGTGCCGGTCGACCGCCGTCTTCGATATCGTATCGTGACCCATGACGGCAACGGCGTACGTGCGTAACATTCTCGATATGGGCGGGAGGTCATGGGCGGATATCACTTTGACTTCCAGGATCATTTTGGGTGGATAATTTGTGCGGTTACCTGGCTAGCTAGCCCGCGACGGAAGACATGACCGGGAAACGCCGGAGAGGAGGCTCGCCGGCTTCCGGTCCGAATTGAAGACGGTGGTAGCCAAAAATTGAATAGGAGTTGAATGTGGAGAGAAAGGAAGACATATATCCAGCCATCCAGGCATTAATTAATGAATACTCCCTATGATACCCTTTCAGTTAATCATTTTTTATTTTTCAAATCAATGAAATTACACTTTAACCGATGATATAGGAGTATATTTATAATATGAGAATGATGGGAAAAATAATTAAAATACCATAAATTTTGAAAGGGTGTGAGGTAATTAAGCATCCCAAATTTGCATGTCTAATTTAAATACCCCAAACTTTATATAAAAATTATTTTAGCACCATGGTCATATATTATTTCTTTAAAAAATGTTAGTTTTTGGTGTTAATTTCATAAGTTAAAATATTTTAGCATTCATGAAGATACAATTCACATTCTAAACTTCTATTATAAAATAAATAATACTACCCCCACTCTATATAATTGCATCATTTTTATTTGTTATTTTAAATTATGCAATTAACATCATAAATTTACATTTTTGAAAAAAATAATATATTGCCATGGTGCTAAAATAACTTTTTATATAAAGTTTGGGGTATTTAAATTACATATGAAAGTTTGGGGTGTTTATCTCGCACTTCTTCAAAGTTTGGGGTATTTTAATTAATTTTCCCTAACAAAAATGTTATATGTTAAAATTAATATCATAGCAGATTAAAATTATTAAGTTTTACTCAAATATACTCCCTTCATCCCTTGAAATTTTTTCATTTTAAAATTTTTTGATCAACCATATTCAACTTTCATAAATTATACTACGTGTAATTTATAGGGATAAGATACATATATACCCCTATAGTATAGGTGCGGGAACAAATATACCCATGTTCTATTTTTCGGAACAAATATACCCCTTAACTTTGAAAAAGGTGCAAAAATATCTCTCATGTTTTTATAAAGGAGCAAAGTAATCCTTATTAACTTTGAAGTAATAAAATAAATTTCCAAAAACACCAAAAAATTAAAAATTCGAAATTAAAATATAAAAAAATAAAAAATTTAATATTTTTAGTATAAAAATATTATTTCAAAATTTTACTATATATTTAAGATTCTATCAAAAATGTGCTAACATATATGTTGCAATGTAAAAAAATTATTTTTGCATTTTTTGCACTATAAAATTACATATTTTGTATGATGATAAATAGCCCAAAAATTACAAAATAGTGAATTTATATACTAAAAATATTTAATTGTATACAAAAAGAAAAGGGAGAATTGGACACAATTACATTTTTTATTTTTTATTTATTTTAATTTCGAATTTTTAATTTTTTGGTGTTTTTGAAATTTATTTTATTAATTTTAAGTCAATAAGGATTAATTTGCTCCTTTATAAGAACATGAGGGATATTTTTGCATTTTTTTCAAAGTTCAGGGGTATATTTGTTCTGAAAAATAGAACAAGGGTATATTTGTTCCTGCACCTATACTATAGGGGCATATATGTACCTTTTCCCTAATTTATAATTAAGAAGTTATTTGTAATATAAAATTGAAATGAAAATACTACTCGTATTTGTTAAAAATGGAGAAAATGGTCAAATAGGGATCTTCTACTATTACAAAATCGTCACATAAGATCATGTACTCAATAAGTGTCATATAAATATGTCTACCTATAAAAAGCAATCAGTTGAGTACGTCCTAGCGACCCGTTGACAACCTCCCAATCCCGATTTAGCTTACATGTCATTATTTTTGCCTTGTATTTCAACCAATTTTAGCTAAATATTTCACGCATGCCTTATAATCTATTCTAAAAAGATAGTGAGATATATGTAAAAACCGAGATTATGAGGTTGTCAACAGGTAAGACAAATGGGACATTTTAAATAGGGACGGAGGGAGTATAAGCTAAAAACTAGAATCTGATTTTTTATTTTTCTATTACACAAAAACCACATATGTTACTAAACACTATCAACTTTTACTTTTCAAAATTATTTTTTCTCAAACACTACCAACTTTTACTATTAAACACTTTTTCCAAAATCACTTTAAAAACTTATACTACCTCCGTCCCAAATTGAGTTGCAATTTTGACTTTTCTTGGTCAAATAGACTCGTTTTGTTCGTTTAATTATGATGTCAATTTCTAATTATATTCCAATCTGAGTTTACAACTTTAAAGAGATTTCTTTATGAATATGTAAATTTTAATTATTAAAAATTGAGTTAATTATCAATAAGAAGGTTTGACTTTTATTATTCGTTGACCAAAAAATATTGACTTTGCAAAACAATTTGGGACGGAGGGAGTATTTTTTAGTTAGTCACTAAAGCATCATCATTAGCTATACGGACTTACAGAGTATGTCACGAACAACTTTATTGTAGACTTTTTAGTCTTTATTTTTTTTAATGAACGGTGTTTGAACCAATCAATACGACTTTTTCGGATAGGAGCCGGAGAACACCCAATCAATTTATTTGAAAAGGAAGAAAGTACATAGAGTAGGAGGGCTAAACCAATGTTGAAGTGTTGAACGAGTTGTGATTTTGAGTAGTGCTGAAGGGTTTCCAATTCGTAATGGCAAAGATATCAGTTTTCATAGCCTTTATCGTCTCCGGAAAAAAGACCTGTTTGTGATCATGTATGAACTTATTTCTTATCTTCCGAAGGTTCCAAATAACCATATTTGGAAGAACATAGTTTAGATCAGCAAAACCCCTGAAACATTTATACCAACCAAGAATATAATTCTGAACCGAATTTGTGGGTCTAGGTTTGTAGTTGAAAATAGTTTCAAAATGGTCTTCCCGGACCGCTCTGCTAAGGGTGTAGAATATGAACAAGTGGTCAATGGTATCAATGTTCGGGCACAAAGGGCATTTGAAAGGACCGTAGATACCAATTTGCCGGAATTGGACCTTAAAGGTAGCAACAAGTTTTTCATTTTCTAAAAGAAAAAAGGAGATTGTTTTTGGGATCCTGCTATTCCAATAGAAAATATAGTTAATATCAGCGGTCATTTTTGGCATTGTGACATCATAGTCACTAGAAAAACTGAATTTGTCATTCGAATTCGGCTTCCACAGATATCCATAGTCAATGTTATTAAAATAAAGCTTGGTAGCATTGATGATTTTTACTCTTTCTTTATCCTTCTAGTTTTAGAGTAGAAACCATAATATCAATTTAAAAGACCTTTGAGGATAGTATTCATAAACCCCAATTACTCCATTTGGAGTGATAAAAATTACTTCATTTATGGTTTAAATTGAGTAATCACTATTATGTTTCAAAATGAGAAGCTCGGGTAGGATATAACCTGTACCTGCAAAGGAACATATTCAAAGAAGTGTTCAAGTAAATACTAAATATGTCTCATTTCATTTTATGTGTCTTCTTTTGGTTTGGCACAATTATTAATCAAATGGTTGAAAAAGTAAAAATCATAGTTGAAATTTAAGTATAATAAAATGAAATCTTAGGGATGACGTATACCTTTCCAAAAAATGAAATATGACACTTATTTTAAGACAGCCCAAACAAGAAAGTAAGACAAGTAAAATCTAGGTTGGAAAGAATAGATAAATTATAAAAGGGATATTACCCAAAATAGGACTAAAAAGGTTTCAAAATTCCAAAATAGGACTGACATGTTTTTATTCCCAAAATAGGACTAATTACTGCCATGTTTTGGCAGTACCAGACTTCAAACATGACAGTATTTTCCAAACTTGACAGTAATTACTCTTATTTTGGGAATAAAAAACATGGCAGTCCTATTTTGGAATTTTCAAACTGTTTTAGTCCTATTTCGGGAACTTTCCCATTATAAAAGTGAGAAGATATACCTTTGAAGCATTTTTGCATTATAATACAGAGTTTGCACAAATTTTTATAAACAGTATATTTTTTGTAGTTGCCTTTATCATTTTTATTAGCATTAATTTTTATTTAAATTTTAGTCCACTTATTCTCTTAATGTAATTCCCTTATGACAAATTATTTTGTTGCATGTCCACAAATAACATTCTCCCATCGGCGAACAAAGCCCGTCCATATTTTGAGGCCGCTAACTCTTTCGGCCACCACCGTAAAACGCAACATCTCCAAACCTCCACTCTGTCTCGAGAAACTCCCCAATGAAGTCACCGGCAGGCGGCAGCCCTACTGTAGGGACCCTACAAAACCTCCACCACCTCCGCCTTGTCCAACGCGGATGCATCTCCTCCGACAAGGCCACCACGACCACCACTCTAATACTCTTATGTGCCTTCTTACTCCTCATGGCACCGCCATCATCTTTAGATACTATGCCATGCAAGTGTGATGGTGCTCTGAATGCCAACACCTAAAACGTGACTCCCATCAACGTCCCCAAGATAATATTCCGATCATGGAAAAAACATCTAAGATTATTGTTTTGGCACTATTTTTTACTAGTAGTATTTATTATTGAATTACTCAATTAATATCGAGGGTTTAAAGAACTTCACAATACAACATTCGATTCACTATTACTCCGTAAAATATAAGCTCGACTACCAGTACAGACAGACCTTGTGAGTTGTGATTCAAAAAAATAGTGTCCCATTTATACAGTTCAAAAATAGTCTCCCATCAAGCGCTCTCTAAATGCAAGGCGCGGCCACAGTTTCCGTCATAAACTATGTAATGTTCTCTGGATACAATTATTTTACACTCAGTCAGCATACAATTTCTTACCCGAACTAGGGATGGCCAGCTCCGGGTTCATGTCATGTAAGAAGAGGAACCGGAACCTTAACCATGTATACTATTCTGGTTGAGTTCTCGGCTCT